GGAGGGGGGAGGAGGTGGAGGAGGTGGTGGTTGGCCCACCATCCTCCTGAGCTCATCCTCCTCCGAGGAATCAACGTCCCCCTCCCTACTCCTGCTTCTCCCCGCCCTCCACTGGCGGTGTCTCTCGCGCCGCCGCCGTTTCCTTCCCCTACCCTCTGCCTCTCTCCGCGCTTCTTCAGCCTCCTCCTTCTGCGTCATTACCGAGCCGCAGAAGGAGGAGAACGCATCCCATCTCTTCTCACTCCCGAGGATCGCCCCGACTATCCCCGGGAGTGAGAGGTCCTGGCCCAAGGCCCTGACCATGACTCCGCGCTCGGCACTCCAGGCGGGGCAGTCCTGGAGTGTGTGTTGCGCGGAGTCATGGTCGTGTCCACAGTGGTGACATGCCGCCGTGCGCTCTTTGCCTATCCGGCACAGGTACTCACCGAAGCATCCGTGCCCGGTGAGCACCTGTGCCATCCTAAAGGTCAGGGTCCCGTGGGCCCCTTCCTACCCACTCTGGCAGGAAGGGCCGGACGGCCTCGACGGTCCTCCTTCCGTACCTGGCATTAGCCAGGAGTCGCTGCCATCTCTGAAGGAGGACCTGTCGAGTCTGGTGCTTCATCCTTCTGATTGTCCTGGCGAGCGGTTCTTCCGCCCCCCCCATACGTAGGAGCTCACGCTTCCTATCGTACATTCCCATGTACGAAAGGGCCATGAGCTCCAGGGGGGGCATGCTCGCCAGGACCGTCGCCGCCACGTGGGATACTGTTCGGTAACAGCGGGCCACCCTGACCGCCAGCGCCCTTTGCACCCTGCGCAGGGTTGCTTGTATGGGCGACTGACGGCCAGGGCTTCTGCCCATATCGGCGCCCCGTAAAGGGCCACCGAATTGAGTACCCCAGCGTGGAGGCGACGCGCCTTCCCATCCGGTCCCCCGGTTCTCGGCATGAGTCTGCTGACTCTGCTCGAGACAGCCCTTAACCGGGGGACCAGGCGATTGAAGTGTTGCCTGAAGCACCAGGTGCCGTCCAGGGTGAGGCCCAGATATCTCATCTGGGCCTCTATTGGGACCCTGACCCTTCCTACTCTTATCTGGGCCTGGGGTGGCTTCATCCTCCTGCCATGGAGGAAGATCGCCTCCGTCTTCCTCTCCGCCACCACCAGGCCCAGTCTGCGAATAGAGCGCACGACGCATGTCACCGCGAAGTTGGCCGTCCCTGCAGCCTCCCCCCAGTCTCTCCCCCCGGCTAAGATGAGCGTATCATCTGCGTAGCAGATGATGCTACAGCCGGGGGGGAGGGCAGTTTGGAGGACAGAGTCGTAACCGAGGTTCCACAGGAGGGGGCCCAAAACGGACCCCTGTGGAACCCCGCAACTCATGCCCCTCTCGCATACCTTGCCGTCGGCGTCTCTCCAGGCTAGACGCCGACCCCGGAAGTAATCCCTGACGACGGCCACGAGGTAGGGTGGGAATTGGAAGTGGCCTTCCATGGCCTCCACCACCCTACCCCAGGGCAGGGTGTTAAATGCGTTGGCGATGTCCAAGGACACCGCCACCGCCACCCCGCCCTCCTGCACTATGGCCTCCGAGAGGGACCGCAGACGCCGAATCGCGTCCACGGTGGAACGTCCCTCCCGGAAGCCGTATTGGCCGTCGTCAAGGTTCGGACCTATCCGGGACATATGCTCCACGAGGCGGGCAGCTATGACACGCTCGAAGAGCTTGCCCGCCTCGTCCAAGAGACATATGGGCCGGTATGCGGAGGGGGTGCCCTCCGGTTTGCCCTCTTTACGGAGGAGGACCACATTGGCCCTCCCCCAGACTGGGGGGAACCTTCGTTCCCTCAGGGCTCGCGAGAATATCCTCGCGAGCCTTCCGCCTAGGTACCCCGAGGCCAGGGTAAGGACGCGGCCGGGGATTCCATCGGGTCCTGGCGCCTTCCGGCTTTTGACCCTTTTGATGGCCCCGGCCACCTCCTCCTCGGTGACCCCCGGTACCACCCCTTGTTGTTCAGGGGTGGGTGCAACGTACGGGCCCATGGGGTCCCCTTCCCTGACCGGGAAGAGGGTCCCCATGACCCGCTCCAAGAACCGGGGGTCGAGCGTCTCCGTTAGCGGGGGCGTCCATGGTTTCAACTTGTTCATTACCAGTTTGTACGGACGCCCCCACGGATCAGCGTCCAGCGAGAGGAGGAGGGTGTCCCACCCTTTTCCTCTGGCTGCCCCAATCGCATCTCTGAGGGATGCCGCCGCTAGGCAAAACTCCCTCCGGGCAGCCAGAACAGCCTCGGGGTCCGAGTGAGGGTCGTTACGGACCCTCCTAAAGGCCCGCCTGAGGTGGACCGACTTGTGCCGGAGATCGGCTATGGCGTCGGTCCACCACCAGGCGGACCTTTTGGGGCAGGACCTGACTCTGGGCATGGCTTCGTCGCACGCATGCGCGACGACTTCCATAATTGCCATAACCTCAGAGTCGAGGTCCCGCCCCTCTTCCTGCCGTGGCCAGGTGGCAGCCTCTAGGGAGATGTCCAGTGCTTCCCTGTCCAATTTGTTGAGGGACCATCTCCCCGGTCGGGGTTGCATTCGGGGTTGCCTGGACCGCAGGCCCTCGGGGGTGACGGACAGCTCCATCTCTATTAAGAGATGATCTGAAAGAGCTTCGAGCTCGTCCGCCACCCTCCAACTCCGCACCCGCTTCAGGGCCGCGGGGGAAGCCCATGTGAGATCGATGATCGATTCTCCCCGCGACCCTACGAACGTCGATTCGCGTCCCTCGTTCAGCAGGTGCAGATCAAGGCCCGCGGCCCAGTCTTCCACCTCCTCCCCCCTCCTGTCACCATCCCGGGATCCCCACGTCTCCGACTTCGCATTGAAGTCCCCGGCGATGATGACAGGTTCGGGGAGGTGCCGTCTAACGGCCCTCCCCATGTCTCGGAGCCTGGACTTAAAGCTAGGAAAGTCCAGGCTCTTTGTTGGGGGGAGGTATACCCCGACCACTATCAGGGCACCCCACCTGGCCACGACGAATCCCTCTCCGCTACCCACATAGGTAGCGGGGGGAGAGTTTCCGCCCGCTTTCCAAATGATTGCGACGGAGCCCAGATTGTCCCCGAACCATCTCGGATGGTTTTTGGGGACTCTGTAGGGCTCCGCCGCAATTCCCAATCCCGCACCGCGCTCGGTCATGGTATGCTCGAAAAGCGGTAGTGCCTGCCGAGCGCGGTGCAGATTTGCTTGGAGGAGCCGTGTATCCATTACAGGTGTATAAGCAGTTTCTCCACGGGCCCCTCCTCTTCCTCACTCCCGCTTCTCCTTGCGGGTCGCTGCCTCTTCTCTCCCCTCCTTTCGATATCCATGTCCTCCACCCCTTTGTCCGGAGGAACCTTTTTTTTTTTTTTTTTTTTTTTTTTGACGAGGAGGAAATCCATCATGGATACCCTGACCCTCGGGGAAGGGCCAGGGTTATGCCGGACTCCTACCGGCTAAAACCTCCCCGGGTGGCGCTGCGAAGGGACTTGGTTCGGGGCCCCGGTGCCGTGTAACTGCTTATCGGGGCCCCGAGTCCAGATGTTGCACCTTCTGTCCCTGAGGGGCGGGGTGGGGGAGGGGGGAAGCCGACCCGAGGGTCCGCTTCACCGCCGCTCCCCCAGGGGAAGGGGGAAGCCGGCCCGAGGGCCCGCTTCGACCGCCGTTCCCCTTTCCCACCCCTCACGCCTCGTCTCTTCGGTCGGGAGGGGGGGAAGCCGGCCGAGGCCCGCTTCACCACCGTTCCCGACCAGACGAGGCGCCGCCAAAACACGTTGTGTGGCTGACTGACCCACCGTATCAGCCAGCCACCCTACCTTGGGAGGGCTGGTTGGGGCACCGGGAGTCCCCGCCCGGTGCCCCACCCTCCCGCCCGGCGGTTGCGGGGGGATCTACTCCCCTAGCCGCCGGGCTCTCCCCACCTCCGCAGAGGAATGGGGCGGGGGGTCCTAGCGACCCCCCTGCCGCATGTCCGACTGGTCTGCCGGACTTGCGATTAAGGGGGGGAGGGGCATTTGTTTCGATGATTCCTTATCATCGATGCCCTCTCCCCCCCTTACTTTCATCCAACCCCTTTTTTCGATGGGGTCGGCGGTCTGCGTGTGTAGGGCCTAGGCCTGAGCCGGGCCCTCCACCCGCTACCTTCTCCCGTCGTCGCTGCCCTTGGTGGGACAGCGGGGGATGGCGGCGGTGGTGGCGCCGCAATCACCCCTGCTGCTGGGGGGGCGGTCAGCATGGCTGCCGCCACCATTAGGGGGGTGAGGCGGCGCAAAACCACCACCGCCACCCTACCGTCTCCGACTCCTCTCCGGTTTCCACGGGGGCACCGTGCCCCCTGCGGGTTCCCCGTCTCGCTGCTTGTGCCTGTGGGGGAGCAGGAGGGGGAGGGGGGGGAGGAGGTGGAGGAGGTGGAGGAGGTGGTGGTTGGCCCACCATCCTCCTGAGCTCGTCCTCCTCCGAGGAATCAACATCCCCCTCCCTACTCCTGCTTCTCCCCGCCCTCCACTGGCGGTGTCTCTCGCGCCGCCGCCGCTTCCTTCCCCTACCCTCTGCCTCTCTCCGCGCTTCTTCAGCCTCCTCCTTCTGCGTCATTACCGAGCCGCAGAAGGAGGAGAACGCATCCCATCTCTTCTCACTCCCGAGGATCGCCCCGACTATCCCCGGGAGTGAGAGGTCCTGGCCCAAGGCCCTGACCATGACTCCGCGCTCGGCACTCCAGGCGGGGCAGTCCTGGAGTGTGTGTTGCGCGGAGTCATGGTCGTGTCCACAGTGGTGACATGCCGCCGTGCGCTCTTTGCCTATCCGGCACAGGTACTCACCGAAGCATCCGTGCCCGGTGAGCACCTGTGCCATCCTAAAGGTCAGGGTCCCGTGGGCCCTTCCTACCCACTCTGGCAGGAAGGGCCGGACGGCCTCGACGGTCCTCCTTCCGTACCTGGCATTAGCCAGGAGTCGCTGCCATCTCTGAAGGAGGACCTGTCGAGTCTGGTGCTTCATCCTTCTGATTGTCCTGGCGAGCGGTTCTTCCGCCCCCCCATACGCAGGAGCTCACGCTTCCTATCGTACATTCCCATGTACGAAAGGGCCATGAGCTCCAGGGGGGGCATGCTCGCCAGGACCGTCGCCGCCACGTGGGATACTGTTCTGTAACAGCGGGCCACCCTGACCGCCAGCGCCCTCTGCACCCTGCGCAGGGTTGCTTGTATAGGGCGACTGACGGCCAGGGCTTCCGCCCATATCGGTGCCCCGTAAAGGGCCACCGAGTTTAGTACCCCAGCGTGGAGGCGACGCGCCTTCCCATCCGGTCCCCCGGTTCTCGGCATGAGTCTGCTGACTCTGCTCGAGACAGCCCTTAACCGGGGGACCAGGCGATTGAAGTGTTGCCTGAAGCACCAGGTGCCGTCCAGGGTGAGGCCCAGATATCTCATCTGGGCCTCTATTGGGACCCTGACCCTTCCTACTCTTATCTGGGCCTGGGGTGGCTTCATCCTCCTGCTATGGAGGAAGATCGCCTCCGTCTTCCTCTCCGCCACCACCAGGCCCAGTCTGCGAATAGAGCGCACGACGCATGTCACCGCAAAGTTGGCCGTTCTTGTGGCCTCCCCCCAGTCTCTCCCCCCGGCTAAGATGAGCGTATCGTCTGCGTAGCAGATGATGCTACAGCCGGGGGGGAGGGCAGTTTGGAGGACAGAGTCGTAACCGAGGTTCCACAGGAGGGGGCCCAAAACGGACCCCTGTGGAACCCCGCAACTCATGCCCCTCTCGCATACCTTGCCGTCGGCGTCTCTCCAGGCTAGACGCCGACCCCGGAAGTAATCCCTGACGACGGCCACGAGGTAGGGTGGGAATTGGAAGTGGCCTTCCATGGCCTCCACCACCCTACCCCAGGGCAGGGTGTTAAATGCGTTGGCGATGTCCAAGGACACCGCTACCGCCACCCCGCCCTCCTGCACTATGGCCTCCGAGAGGGACCGCAGACGCCGAATCGCGTCCACGGTGGAACGTCCCTCCCGGAAGCCGTATTGGCCGTCGTCAAGGTTCGGACCTATCCGGGACATATGCTCCACGAGGCGGGCAGCTATGACACGCTCGAAGAGCTTGCCCGCCTCGTCCAGGAGACATATGGGCCGGTATGCGGAGGGGGTGCCCTCCGGTTTGCCCTCTTTACGGAGGAGGACCACATTGGCCCTCCCCCAGACTGGGGGGAACCTTCGTTCCCTCAGGGCTCGCGAGAATATCCTCGCGAGCCTTCCGCCTAGGTACCCCGAGGCCAGGGTAAGGACGCGGCCGGGGATTCCATCGGGTCCTGGCGCCTTCCGGCTTTTGACCCTTTTGATGGCCCCGGCCACCTCCTCCTCGGTGACCCCCGGTACCACCCCTTGTTGTTCAGGGGTGGGTGCAACGTACGGGCCCATGGGGTCCCCTTCCCTGACCGGGAAGAGGGTCCCCATGACCCGCTCCAAGAACCGGGGGTCGAGCGTCTCCGTTAGCGGGGGCGTCCATGGTTTCAACTTGTTCATTACCAGTTTGTATGGACGCCCCCACGGATCAGCGTCCAGCGAGAGGAGGAGGGTGTCCCACCCTTTTCCTCTGGCTGCCCCAATCGCATCTCTGAGGGATGCTGCCGCTAGGCAAAACTCCCTCCGGGCAGCCAGAACAGCCTCGGGGTCCGAGTGAGGGTCGTTACGGACCCTCCTAAACGCCCGCCTGAGGTGGACCGACTTGTGCCGGAGATCGGCTATGGCGTCGGTCCACCACCAGGCGGACCTTTTGGGGCAGGACCTGACTCTGGGCATGGCTTCGTCGCACGCATGCGCGATGACTTCCATAATTGCCATAACCTCAGAGTCGAGGTCCCGCCCCTCTTCCTGCCGTGGCCAGGTGGCAGCCTCTAGGGAGATGTCCAGTGCTTCCCTGTCCAGTTTGTTAAGGGACCATCTCCCCGGTCGGGGTTGCATTCGGGGTTGCCTGGACCGCAGGCCCTCGGGGGTGACGGACAGCTCCATCTCTATTAAGAGATGATCTGAAAGAGCTTCGAGCTCGTCCGCCACCCTCCAACTCCGCACCCGCTTCAGGGCCGCGGGGGAAGCCCATGTGAGATCGATGATCGATTCTCCCCGCGACCCTACGAACGTCGATTCACGTCCCTCGTTCAGCAGGTGCAGATCAAGGCCCGCGGCCCAGTCTTCCACCTCCTCCCCCCTCCTGTCACCATCCCGGGATCCCCACGTCTCCGACTTCGCATTGAAGTCCCCGGCGATGATGACAGGTCCGGGGAGGTACCGTCTAACGGCCCTCCCCATATCTCGGAGCCTGGACTTGAAACTAGGAAAGTCCAGGCTCTTTGTTGGGGGGAGGTACACCCCGACCACGATGATGGCTCCCCACCTGGCCACGACAAACCCCCTGCCTCGGTCCAAATACTCGGCAGGGGGTGAGCAACTGCTCGCCTTCCACACAATAGCGACAGAGCCCAACTCGTCCCCGAACCATCTGCGGTTCTTGGGGACATGGTGGGGCTCTGCCGCTATGCCCAAGCCTGCACCGCGCTCCGTCATAGTATGCTCGAACAATGGGAGCGCTTGACGGGCGCGGTGCAGGTTCCCTTGGATTAGTCTATTGTCCATTTTCTTCTTCAGTTATTACGACCACCTTCTCTCCCGGCTGTTCGCCGTCGGTGTCCTCGTTTTGCCTAGCTCTTTTCTCTCCTCTCTTCTCCTCTACCTCCATCCCCCCATCATCAGTGGGGGGCTGAGGGGGAGGCGGAAGAGAGAGAGAGGCTCCTCTCCTTCTTTGAGGAAGTGGAGGTTGGGGTTCCATCTTTCGGTTTGCCCCTCCCTCCGCCTCTTTTCCTTTCTCGGTTGCTTCTCTTCTCTCCTCTGGGGATGCAGGAGGGTCTCGTGGCGGCGGTGCGGTCGCCATACCCCCTTCCACTGCATCCCCAGAGACATTCTTCCTCCTCTTGGGGGGACGGCAAGAGGGTCCCCCCATTCTATGGTCTGCCTTAACGCCGGCCTCTGCGCAAAGTTGGCACCTAGCTCTCGAGTTACACTCCCGAGCCAAGTGACCGGGTTCTCCGCATCTATAACAATTTGCCCGTCTATCGATGTTATTTTTGCAATTGGTTTGCACGTGCCCTTTTTCTAGGCACCTGTAACATTGCAGGGCCCTTGCCTGCAGCAGCTCTGCTTTTGTCTGTGTCCACCCGATTTTGATACTGCCTGTTTCTGCAACCCTCTTGGCTGCCGCAAGGGGGCACTGTATCCATAGTGTCCGATAATTATTCCAGGCTGTTCTCATACTCCCGGTCTTTACCTCTCCTATCTGGCATCCTCCTGCCTTAGCCACTGCCTCCGCCGCTTCGCTCTCCGTAGTGGCTATCTCCAGCCCTTTTAGTCTTAATTCTCCCATCTTTTGTGGTCTGTTAATTTTTGCCCTGTCCGTCAGCACTTCCTTCAGCTTATCTGCGAGCTGATCCGCCTGCTTGCTCCTTTGCTCTCCTGGTATTTCTATTACCAGGGCTCCGGTGGCCCCCACTCTAGTCTTTATTTTTTCTATACCCATCCCGGTGAGATCGATCTTTCTTTTTGCCTCTGACAATAGATCTTTGTATTGTCCCCTTTCTGCTGTGATTGTCACCGCCGCCGTGTTGGGGACTCTCCTCCTATTTTTCTTCCCCTCCTTTCTTTCTATATTTACCACCCTTTTTATTTCCTGCCTTTTTTGCGTTTCTTTTTCTTTCTTCCTTTCCCTCCTACCCACTACTTTTGTCCACATTTCTTCCTGTGGTGTGGGAGTTTTCTGTGCCTGCTGCTCTTTTCTTTGCGCTCGCGTGGGTGGTAGTTGAGGGTACTCCTGCTCGTATCTGTTTCCCCCCTGTTGTAGTACCACACCCTGGCTCCCCACTCCCTTTATCTTTTTCTCTTTCCCGGCCCCTTTTTTGGGAAGCTCCTTCCCTTGTGCTTTCCACTCATTTAAGGCTTTGAACACCATTTGTGTTATGTTGCCCTCCAGTCCCTTCCTTTCATTCCTCACTGGTTCCTCCCTTCTTTCTATCCTCACCCTGTTGTCCAGGAGGATGTTCTCTCTGATTTTGGGGCCTGTTTGTGCGACCCTGGCTTCTTTTCTCTCCCTTACTGGGCGTCTCCTCTCCCTTGGGATCAACCCCTTTTGCACCTCTATGATCCCTATCGGTGCCTCCTCCTCCTCCTCCATCATGTCCACCGCGGGTGGAGTTATCGCCCTTTCCTTTTCTGCGTGGGTCAGGGGCGGGGGAGCACTCGGTAAACGCCGCGGTGTCTCTCCTACACCCTGACTCACGTTCCCCGGGTGCTTCGAGGGCGGGGAGGATACCACTGCTTCATGCAGTGGTGCCTCCCTTATACCTCGGAGCATCTGTTTGACCTCCTCCAGCTCCTTCCTCACCTCTGTCAGCGACGTCTTGAGATTCGCGTTCTCCGTCCGTAGCTCCTCTATGAGATCCATGTTGCTCCCGCATCTATCTTGCGCCATTTGCATTGCCATTATGTTGGCTCCTGCAGTTATGGCAGCTGCGGCGTCTCTGAGCACCTTAACATGGGTGCCCTTTAAGCTTTTAGATTTCTGCGAGAATCCTAGCACCTTTGTCGACGCTTCAAGTATCGTCGCCGTGACGTCCCGGAAGGGGGCCTCCTCAAGATGTTCAGTAAGTCTTTTAATTTCGGCCTTGTACTTCCTATTGGTAGTACAATCCTGGAACTCTTCACATGGGTTTTCCATGCCCTTCAGCAGGAATTCCTCCCTTCTCTGTTCCAGGATAACCTGTTTCCTGGCCAGAAATTCTTTTTTGAGCCGGTAACCACCTGTCGTCTCCGGCCTGCCCCTGCCTTTGATGGCCTTCTCCACGAGGCGTTCTTCGTCGGTGTTCCCGTCCTCGTCTCTGGGGATCTCCCACTTCCCTTCCTTCTTCTTGTGGGCAGTCTTCACGCCATCGTCCGAGTCCTCCTCCTTGGAGGTGGCAAAAGGCGTCGAATCATCGACCTTGAGCGGCGATCGGGATCGGTCGCTGTCCTCGATCTCTTCCGCCCTTTTCGTCACTAGGGACTTCGCGCTCCGAAGCCCCTCCCTCCTTGCCGTTATCTGGCCTTTGCCAGTTCGGCATCTCGTGTCAATGGTCCTTGCCTGGGTCGTCTTATTTTGTTCCATGTCCGATGATTCGTAAGATGAGGAATTAGTGTCAGTCATTGTGGTTTAAAACCCACCACTCTGCACGGCTCCGGTGCCCGGGCATGCCCGCATCCCCCCGGCAAGGGGGAGCCTCCGAGTTCCCCCGGAGGAGCACCATATGGCACGGGCCGACGGAATATAACATCGTCGGCACAGGCCTCCCGCCCCCTACACGCGCCCTGACCACCATCTCTGGTGGCCAGACCGCTTTCGGGGGTCCCACACCTCCGACAATGTGGCACCGTGCAGGCCGCCGCCACGCGGGGGGCCCCATGGAAGGAGATAGTTCACCGGTGTCGCACCCCACCGGGAACGTCTCCCCCATGGCAGCCAGCGTGCTCGCGCCGCCCGAGGGTCCGCTTTAGGGTGATGCGATCGCATTCCCTCGGGCACAGCACACAGGGGCTCCGACCCCGCCTCGGAATACGTCCGAGCGGCCCGGAGCACCCCTCCACCCCCCGGGTACCGCGAGGGGTTCCAAACCCTCGCGGTGTGCAGACCCGGGTGTGGGTACCTCTCTCCGCCTGGCCGTGGCCAGGACGGATGAGGGAGAGGATCGGTTCCCTTGGCTGCCGGAGCACCGGCGTGCAATGCCTCCGGGAATGAGTCCTCTATCGGCGCCTGAGGGTGTCTCGACCCGACCTCGGAATACGTCCGAGCGGCCCGAAACACCCCTCCACCCCCCGGGTACCGTGGGGCAAGCCCCACGGTGTGCAGACCCGGGTGTGGGTTCCTCTGTCCGTCCGACCGAGGCCGAACGGGTGAGGGAAGTCGGGGAGTCCACCTTCGAGACGAAGGTGGGGTCCTCTCCCCTCGTCACCCTAGGGTGCCCCGACCCAGACCTCGGAATAAGTCCGAGCGGCCCGGGACATCCCCTCCACCCCCAGGTACCGTGGGAATAGTCCCGCACGGTGTGCAGACCCGGGTGTGGGATCCTTCGTTCGCCCAGCCGTGGCTGGGACGAGCGAGGGAGAGAGATCCTCCCCTCTTCGGCTGCCGGAGCACCGGCGTGCAATGCCTAGGAGGGTGGGATCTCTCAGGACGCGGCAGCGTACCCCGACCCCGACCTCGGAAACGCCGAGCGGCCCGGAGTACCCCTCCGCATCTCAGGCACCACGGGGGAGGAGGATCCCCATGGGGTGGAGCCCTGGATGCGGGTAGCGTC